TTTGCGTAATCAATACGAAGATTTCGCGTAGTTCATATAAAGGCGTTTCTTCGTATGGACTTCACGATACGAAGGTACCGGCTAGTGTACACAAATGGTTATCTTAATATGCACAACACAGTGCAATGCTCTTGCCCATGCTACTGGAATGGGTTTCCCCCCATGACCCAGGCGTAATCACAATGAAGCTGCTCATAGTATCTAACGGTTCCTTTGCCTAAGCGACCGGGAAGGGTTGCGCGTTTGGCGTGGACTGCACAGTGAACCCCATACGAAATAGCGACGCACAGTAAGTGAATGTATTACATAATCAGACAACAGTAAAGTGTAATGTACGCACTTACCAACTGCGGATTTGTTGGCTACATTTCTTGTCGCCGTCTGAAAATGTTACGAAGTTACCACCGAGCAAATACCAGGTTGGTGGCCCAATCAATCCTACACGATTGCCAATGCTGACATCCATCTTAAGGGATGTCGGAACAACTGTATGTCGCCTCTGGAAGATTTCGCTAGACACTTTTAGTCCAAACGGTAAACGAAGCCAACGGAACCGCCCGAATGGTGTTCCTAAAGTTGTCATGTAGCTTGACTCATCATCTAGTGATACGTGCCAGAACGCAGAGGCGAGGTCGACTTTCGTGAACATTTTAGAATTGCATAGCACCGGCAGGATCTCGTCTAGTGTCGGTAACGTAAAATACTCTCTCTTGAGTGCGGCATTAAGCGGTTTCGGATCAATGCATATACGCAGATCGCCTGGCTTTTTGTAATAATCGCCACCTGGCTGACCCAATCAGTCGGTTCGTCAACTTTAGATATCACTCCCAGACTACATAGACGTTGCAACTCATTCAAGAACTTTTCGCGCAATGCAATTGACACCTTCCTAGCTGGTAACGCCACCGGTGTTGCTAGCTCGTTTAACGATAAGTGAGCGGGTCCATCGAACATCCCTACTCCGCCATCAAACACACTCGAGTACTTATCAAAAATATCTGCCTCGACATCACACGCATGAACAAAACGTTCGTGGTTAAAAGAAACAAAACCAAAACGCTGGATAGAATCAATGCCCAGAATGGGCATAAGGTCTTTCGAAACAATCAGGAACTCCATCGGGTGCTCTGTTCCTTCCTTTGGATTGACCGTCTCCAAAATGGCAATGCCCTTCGGTTGCAGCCTTGAGCCGTTCCACAATTTGAGACACTTTTGAGTTTCTTCACATCGCACCCCCTTGCAGTATTTTTCAGGCAAGATGTTAACCGCAGCCCCGGAGTCTAGCTGAAAGCGTACCGGTTGTCCTCGAACCAAAAGCGTTTCAAACACGCACTTGCTTTTCGCCCGGCCATCCATGTTGTTTATCAACAATTCTTGTTCCCGTTCTCTGGCATCGTCGGCAACCGAACTCACTCTGTATGATCTACAGAAACGAGCAAAGTGACCTTTCTTGGAGCACTTCATGCATGTCCGACCCCACGCTGGACAACTCTCCTTCTTCTTTTGGTGCCTGCGGCCGCAAAACTGGCAATCAGTTACCTGTTCATCGGATGATCTCGGGATACGTCCCTCGGTTCGGGATACTGCGAACAACTCCGTATTCTGTTCGGCGCGCAGATGTTCGACTTGCTGATCTGTTCTGGCCTCACTGAGGCAGATGTCGGCACACTGTTCCGGTGACAAGTTCCTTTGTCGCAGAAACCGGCGTGTGAGTTCATCGTTCCTTATCCCAATAACGATGCGATCCCGTATCAGTGACTCCTTCATGCATTCACAGAAATTGCAAGTTCGTGCCAGGAGCTTCAGTTCTGTGATGTATCTCTCGAACGACTCCCCCGGTAAACGATCGCGTCCAAAAGACAGATATCGTTGGTAGGTCTCGTTCACACGCACTTCGCAGAACTCGCCAAATGTCCGCATCACTTCGGATAGATCCGCCTTCTGGTCGCCAAACTTCAGTGTTTCATGAACCCTCCTTGCATCGTCACCAATAGCGTGCCTAAACATTGCGAGTTGGTAGTTCATCGGCTGGGCGTCCAGCTGAGTCAGTGTTGCGAAATCCGCCCGCTTGCTCTTCCAAATCCACTAACTGTCTGGTAGAGAACTCTCAGTCATCTGCAAAGGGGATGGAAACGGAATCGCCGGTTAACCTCCAACTGCAAGCTACATCTTGGCATCGGTTTCTTCTTCTCCTCTGTCACCGTGTTAAGTGACACGGACACGATCAAAAAGTCACGACGGCAGCGGGCGGAAAACAGGCGTTTATTCAGTATAGTGTAGCCTATTTAAAGGAAATAAACACTGTTACTCTTCGAGCCTTTTCAGTGGTTCTCCTGTTTTTCAGCTCACCTCATTGGTCGCGTTTCCCTTTTATTTCATTGGGTTATGTTATTACTCTCCGGTCGCTGTCTTCCTGTCTCGCGCAATGATCACGTCTTTCGTGCTTGGCATCTGATTGGCCGTATTTCTTTGGACCACTCATATTTGGCTTTGCACTCTGAAACTTGCCGTTAATAGCGATTCTCGAGTTGCTAATGCGCCCTCTATGTTCTATTGTCCAATCCGGTTTGTCGGTTTCTAGATACGTGTGCCACTCGTGATTCGCTGTCCAGCCATCGCTGTGTCTCCCGGTGGGTTCACGCGTTCTCTCGATCGAACTAATCCGCTGACTCCGGTAACCTGCGCTTAGGTGGTAAGGTCGAGCATACTGGACTGGTTTCCTAAACCCCGTTACACTACTTATAAGTAGTTTGTTTTTAACTGCTTTATTTTAGTTGACTTAGGTGTATGTAAGTCTATAGGGTATATAATTGTGGGAATTTAAGATTCAGCATAGATGTGCGACGAGGTTCCTAGGTGGCGGCGAGCTGAAGAGCAGCTGTTAACGCAGATAGCTGCTTGAAAGAAGCATTACGCTAATTGCGAGGGTCGTTGCTGTTCCCCGCAGGTGAAAGGCACTTTGGAGTCTATGTTGGATCATTTGAATTCGGTTATTTCGCAGTTATTGGAATTTAGGGAGTACGTCTTGCAAGAGTATGAGGCGAGGTGTAAGACGCCGGTATCTGCGCGATTCACGGTTTTATCGGATTCGGAAGCGTCTGTATAGACGCCGGTTTCGTAGAGGACCTCGTGTCCGATTTCGCCGTCGAAGAGGACGCCGTTTTGTATGCCATACGTTCATTTATAAGATGGCTATGTGAACTAATAAGCCTATGTTTGAGGTGGTACCCAGGTTGGATTACATGCCTCAAGCATCAGCTATGTTGTCTATGTATGAGCCGTACCGATTCCGAGGGATAAACATCCGATTACGTACCGATCTACGCGGAGGAACGTTACCTCTTAATCAGTATAATAAGTGTTGGGTAAGTCTAGGAGTATGCGGGTTACGCTATCCAGGAGAATATGGCGATTTTAACGAACTGGATCGTATTCGAATTAAAGAATCTTATCGCGAATTCGTCGTGTATCGAGATTTCGCGCTTTCACGCAAAACTCTATGAGTGAGCGGCGCAGCTCCCTTAGCTAGACGGAATCCCTGGCTCTCGGATGTAAGCCAGGCGCACGCTGCCTATTTCTTACAGTTCATAAACATGACGCCGGACTTTCGCAAGTGGCGCCCAAGTGTGGGCACCCTATATGTTACGTGCTATGTATAGTATCGCGATAGTCGCTTACCTTCAGCGGCCTTGGCAGTAGGACAATAAAGAAGATATAAGTTGCAGGACAAATCTGTGGACAACTCAGGTCGCTCTTTGACACCTTGCATTTTGGGACACGAATTGCGCCACGTTACTTATCATAAGATCGGTGCTTTGTTCCATAATGTTTTCATTTTGTACTCTTTTGGCGTGGCTTACTATTTGCGCAAATTCCTCAGCGTATCTTTCCATTCACCACTGAAAAGTGTGGTAATCCCCATTTTCTCGATACGATCAGCCTTGTTTGTTTTCTGTCCATTTTTCCTTAGCTAGAAGAGCACTAATCATTATCAACATTATGCGAAATCTGACCAGTGTTCATTACACTGTAAACAAAATGTGTACGAGAGAATGAAGGTGATATCGGTTCATGTGCAGTCACTTGATGTCACACACATTATCGATACACATCGGTCTATGCGTGCGCCGCCGCCGACCCCAAAGGGATAGGCATGATCAGGACGCGCTTACTGCATCGATGTGCAGTTTTACAATGATATCTTATGTATTGTTAGAAATTCTAACTCGCATGTCTCGCAGCCGCATTCATGTCTGTGTTGTGCTTTCTAATCTCTCAGTGCGATTGTCTAGTTCGGAGTGTACAAAACATGCATATGTGCCGTTTTTGTGAGCTACGCATTTAATCCGGTTTAAACTATGAAACTCGTAGTTTTGACCATTAAATGACCTATGTACAGTATATTGTGTACAAGCCGCAACGGTGCTTGCATGGGACTGCTTTTTTCATTCTGGAGCCATAGCATTCACATTCAGGGGTTATCTCAGTTCTGTAATCCCCCATTCGCAATGTTGACAGATCTTGTGGTTTATTACTGCAACACGCTGAAATCGCCAGACTTTTCACACGTTCTTATGATGTGTATTTTTGTATTGATACGGTGTCATCGAAAACTCTCTGGCTCTAATGTGAAAGTGACTGAGCTTCAGACACATTCGGGAGAAAATCATGGGCATGTATAGTTTGTTTATCAACTAACTGTTTACATAGTCTATTGTGATCTACCTAACAGTCACGCTAGCCTCATCTGTTGTGTTCATAGTGACTCCATGCTAGCTGGTTTGATCAATCTTCATTTGTTAGATACTCATGGACTTTTAAAACGATCATTTGCTTCTCGCATGACTGGCTGCTTCGTTTCGGTCAGTACACTCGCTCATCCATTGTCTACCTTGTTTTCCATTATGTCACTGGGGTTAACCTGAGATAATCCATATTTCAGACGTGATTCAGTTGCAGGTTTGAGATCTCCAGTTTACCTGGGGATGTCTTCAAGGGCCATGCGCTTCTCAACGAATCAACTTCGGAAACGCTCATCGGGTGCTCATGTTCTGTGTTTATGTTACCCGAAGGTTTGTCCCAGATTTGCAACACCACATCAATCTATCCATTTCCTCAGAGCATACTCCTCATGTTTGCCAATTTGTGTAAAGGTCCGGCGTCCGCTGCTGTTTCTCATGGTATGGGGCTGTGCTTCCCGAAGTGGACATCCCCTGAGTTCGCAAATCGGCATCCTCGCAACCTGGTCCCTTGACATCATGTTGCTTTTGAGTTTATTCAACAAACCTCACAGGAAATGTTCGTGTTGCCTTGACGATTGGAACAAGGTTGGTTTTGGATGCCCTTTCACCAAGTATTTGTCAATCGGGAGTTGTACAATACTGTGGCATTTTGTTCATTGATGCTACGCCTATGTGCCGGACAATGGCACACATTGGCGTCATACACTATCAGACTGAAGAAACGGGACTTTACTTGAAGCTCTTTCTGTCTAACAGATTCTAAAGTAGCAAGATTCGTCGCCTACAAAGCCGATCCCCAGCGAGTTGCCACACAGCTGCAAACAATTCTGCCAACATACCAAGAAAATCCGCACATCATGTTCTTTACGGCTGTCTGTGCTCTCCGACGTCTCTGCTTTCACATCTACCGACAGCTTGTATGTTCATATGAGCACCGGATTGATCGTTGCTAAGAGATAAAAGCCGCAGGGCGCGAAACCTGAAAAAGTTGCGATACTCAACTGCAGTGATATTTTCGTTAACTAAAAACTGCTTCACCAACGAAATGTTATGGACCGGTGCGTTGTCCTGTTGAAAAACTTATCCATTTTCCAAATATCCGGTAGTTTCCGTCTCAAACTGTAATACCGCTTCATCAATGCTGATCTGTTGATTTACCACGTGACCGTTTGGTGCAAACTCTCATCGCAATACCCTGTATATCGACGAACTTTTAAAGCCACTTGCACAAACTTCGTCATATTCAACCCCTCTAAGAATTCGTCAAACGCTCCCTATCCGAATGGACCCTCAGTTATTGCTAGGACTTCAATTGCTTCGAATCGAATATCGTGTTCTCAAATGTTGTCCTCTGAGACAGCTATGTGTGAACGACTTGAGTGATCATTATCCATCTTTCTCTGTTTGTTTTCCAAAAATTGTTTGTATCATTGAAAATCGCGTGCACACGATGTATACATCACTAGTTGCATAGTTCTCACTGCGCGTTTTTCCAGTTTTTCAAGAACTTTTGTTTTTAACTTGATGTTTTCTACCGTCCATCACCGTTGATTGTAACGGACACAGAGTGACTACTGCCTCCAATTTTGTCCATCAGAACTAGTTCTTGTGTGTGTGACATATTGTCCTTGAAAATTCCACATGCGCCACTTTGGAGCAAGACTTTACTTACTTGCAAATATTTGTCTGAATCGGTTGTCCACGTTCTGCTACACTGCCATTGGATTGCTTAAACGCGGCAACCGTACACCTGGATGGATGCAGGTTGCTTGCTCTGGAAATTTGTCCCAAGTCATGGTGGTCGAGCTACTTTACTGTTTAAACTACATTTTTCTCAAGCATCGCGTAATCACGCGTGGTGGTGGTTTTACTTCTAGTGGATTTCGAAGTATCCAACATGATCTTCACTTCATGGCCCACTGTGCTGCATTTCGATCTGCATTCATGCAGTCCTGATAGATTTTCGCTGTATATGCGTGGACTGCTGTTTTCCATCGAACCCCCTGAAACCTATGGGTCACACAGTCTTGTGATCAAATCGGCACGAATGTGCTCGTGATTAATTGAGAATTCGACAGGTTTCCATTAGCATTACGTCGCATTCTGCACCCGTATGATCTCCATTTGTTGTCCGGTCTTTGTCCCCAGCAGCTGTCGTCAACATGAAACATTCACACACCGCTGATCTGATCAACTTCCAAAGTTCCCCAGGCAGTGATGGATTGAAGCAACTCTCTTCCAATCAAATGTTCAGCAGGAGCATTAACGCATAACTATGTAAACTCTTTGTATCCGGACAAACGCCTCTGTATATTGTCAAATGCATAAGTGCATATATATGGCATCATAAAAAGTTTAATACAGTTGAGGTAGTAAGGTTTCCACTCGGTGTGCATGTACTTTCCAATTTGCCATCTGTCGGCTACCGGGGCAGAGCATCTTTCTACATCCAACAACGGATCAAGTTGCTTGATCTGGGGTCGCGCCACACTCTGTTCAGTTGGACATCATGTGCTCTCTATCTTTGCTGGCGAATTTACATTTATCCGCGCTGTGTGGCCGAGCACATTCACTTGATTCAACGGTATTCCGTGTTTCCTCCTCCCTCAAACCGCTTCGATCGTGTTCCTTTCTATTGTGTTCTACGTTGGGATAATACTACTTGCGTACGGACAATCTCCTATTTATAACTCGTTAGCCGCGGGTACAGCCCAGTGTGTCCGTCGCAAAAAATGTACTTTTTTGTGCTTAATAGAAGCATCGTGTTTACTACGTACCAATTTGGTGACAACCTGCTAGCGCGATGTTCCCCTCCATGTTACCAACCTTGGAGTTTGACAGTGGCTTCATCATGGGACTTCATTGCAATTGAGTATTGGAAGAATCAAGTCGTCTAACCTCTGATCAATTTGATCGATGTCTGTCTACGAACTAGATGAGGACACCGTTTTCTTCACAAGGTAGTGTCGAGAGTGTAGACAACATGCCAAAACATTGCTTCATTCCCATCTTTCAAGCCAAATATGATGCTGCTCCTATCCATTTGAGAGTAGCTTGCGTTTTACTTGGTGATATCTCCATTAGTTATCTTCTACTTGATTCTGGTTCAATTACACTCTTTGGACCTTTACACAGTATTTTCACTTCATGTGACTTTCCATGTATTCCAAATGTGATATTGACACCGATGTTGTTTTGGAGTTCTCGATTATTTGTGAAGACCCAAGTGCACCTTTTATAGACCTGTTTGTTATTGGTGCACATGGACAGGTGATTGTCGACTTCACATTACTTTCCTCTTCTAACGGTCACTACAACAATCACGTGCTCGTTGCATTTCTTCAACGTGAGTAAAGCCTTAGTATTCTTCACTGGTTCCGCATACTGCAACTGATGAGGCCGGTTCTGTCCATATCATTTTCTTGTACATTTCCTATCGCGATGTTGCTAATCCGATGGATTTACATTCGAAAATGCTACAAACCACATCCGTCTGCTTGCGTTTTATCATTTCTTTTATCTGGAGTTCAGTTGGAACATCAGCTGCTACTGAGGTGGCTCTGCCGAATAGCGGGTGGGTGTTTGAAGTGTGTTCACTTTTTCGAAGCAAGAAGAGTCACTGTTGTCAGTTTTAGAGTGTTCTCAGAGTGTTCTCTCATGCAGTGTCTGCCCGGGTGTTTCCATTCAAGACAAGATAAACTTTATAAATTCTAATGAGCTCATTCCCGCATTCACACTACGACTGCGTGTACGCTAGATGAGAATGTCAATATAGTACACGTAAATTGGGAGGAAATCGAGGTGTGAAAGTGGATTGTAATCGGTATGTAAGGGGGCGAGCCCAATGTCAGGACTACTAATGTTCCGTCACGATGCATCCACTAACTTTGCATTTAGTTGTGTTTACTCTTGATCATAAAATAAAAGTACGAGCTTGAACGACATTCACTTTACATCATCTTGGTATGGAGTTGCTTTGCTGGCTGTGATTCACTTAAGACTTGTGTCATCATAAGCTCCGTGTTCTCGGTAAGAACAAACTGTTTGTAGTGTGGAAATAGTAAAATAGGGTTCATGGAAGGTGAGGATGTTTTTTGAGTGCTGTGTTAGGTTGAATTCGGCATTTGTGGCTAAGATTTTGTCTTCCTCTCTACAAACTTGTAGCTGATGGAAGCGTAATCTCTTGATCTTTAGGGGTTAGGATTTACATGCGGGATAGATTGCAAGTTTTGTCGGGTGAAACGTTTTATGTTTCGTATATTTCGGCTTTCTTCTTGTTGTATGTACACAGAATACATATTTATACAATAAACACAATCAGTGCTACCCATATTAGGCCATCGAAAATATTGCCCTACAGGTACACATAATCCGAATAGGCAGAAGAAGAGTTTTATCGATTTCCTTGTCACTGCAGTTGAGAGTTCTCTTAGAGGAGGGGCGGGAAATCACTGACTCGCCGACCTACACTTCTACGGTTATCGTCGGTCTTGAGTCATGACCTCCAGCATCTTCAGTCAGTGAAAAGTTACCAAGGGTCGATAACAACCAACCGAGGCCAACTATTTCGTCAGCTATTTATGTTGCTCCTCTAAGTTACAGGTTGTAGACTACAGCGACTCTTCCATCGCGGTCCCGCAACCGACAAACTGCGCGGAAGATGCGAAGTGGGTATGTACAATTCATGTGCTCACTTCCGCATTGGCAAAGTCACATGACTGAAGCTCCGATATTTTGTACGTTTTTTTATATGCAGTCTTAACGGACTGTGGTTTGTCATATACCCTTAAAATCTTTTTTGTGCTCTTTCCGTAATCGGAACAATGTATATCAGTTTCTGTGAAAATTGTGCAACTCTTTTTAATCACTCTGATCTTTCAGCGCCCAAAAAATTGCTATTATCTATTGCTTACTATTTCATTGTGGAACAATTGTACATTATTCTTTCTTGTTTTAATCCTTCTTGCAAGCGACTCGTAACTTGGCCGTCTTGCAAGTTCACCCGCTAACGTGTTGCTCTTGTCTCGCTTCATCCGTCATCGTCTTGTAGTCCATTGAATATAGTCCTCTGTGTCTGGCTCTAATTTCCTTCTCACTTCCGCGCTTTATTTCGTGCACCGTCTAGGACTAGCATTTACTAGTCCTACAATCTAACTTGTAGTGCAGCCTTCTCTATTCATTTCATCACACTTCGCCCAAGTTCCACTTATCAGACTCGGAATTACTAGCCATATCCATTGGATCATTCCAGCCGTATCAACTGCGTCATCCTCTCGTGAACAGTGCTCTGGACAGCAGACAGGATTACTACTCACACCTGCACTCATCTGACCGTGCGGCGTTTGCACCAGCGGGTGAACTGGAACCACCGTGCAGTGTTGCCGTTTTAAGTCCGGGCAGGTCGGTTTTATTAAGTTCCATCTCGCTCCACTGGGCAGTGTGTGACCAAGAAGCAACGTGGCCGCATCCATCGGTCTGACTAGGTTGTGCAATCGGAAAAGTACGCAACATT